ATTACCTTATATCTTTCGATGAATCTCTTAACTTTTTTAGGGTTTGCGACACAAAACTAGGGTTCAAATGTGAAATTTTAAATTTAAATTTTTATTTTTTAGTGCAGTTTTTTAATATTTGTATAAAATAAATAATATTTGTTGAAAGTTAATAGTTTTAGAAAATTGATCACCTTTTTTTATTGCAGTTGTTAAATAAACGTTATTAATTTTGTTTTAGTTATTAAATATTTATTGAAGGTAGTAAATAGTACTTCAAATGCGGTTTTTATTTAACTAAATAATATATCATTAAAAGCCCTGACTAAAATTTTATGTAATTTTTAAGTTCATATTTTCTTAAACTAGTGCTTTTAATAATTGCACAGGCAATAACAACAAATATCATCTGTTACTGAACAAACATTACAATTTATTATAGCATTTCTCAGCATTTGAAGTAATATTCATAATCCCAGTGGGCACCGGACCTAAAAAAGACGACTTTTAAACGTTCAAAAGACTTCCAAAACGTTTAAAAGACTTCCATAAACGTCTAAAACGTGTATAAGACGTTTAAAAGACGTCTTATACACTTTCTTAAAGACGTCCACTGGGATATTGTCGAAAACATTTTTTATTAAAATGTCAAACGGAGTCTTGAATAATGCATATTTTCATAGATACTATAAATGTATTTATAGTTTTTTAAAATATTGTTTAAACTTATTTTTAATTTTAGTCTAAATTAAATTTTAGGTTTAAAAAAAAGTTGCAATAGCAATTACAAATGTGGTTGAGTTGATTCATATAATCTGAGAATGAGAGACACTTTTTTAAACATCTTTGTAAAATTAAAATAAAAGTTTTTTTAAAGTTAAACCTTGCCATCTTGAAGCAATTCTGTCATCGATAAACTGCCTATCTTTATGAACTCTTGGTTGATTTTCTGAATGCTAATTCTGCTGTTCTAAGTTGTAAAAAATATTAGATAATAGAGTCCAAAGATTATCTCGATTTTTTAAATTACTAAATCCCTTTTTAGAACCACAATTACGTTCTTCGAAAAATTTTGATTTGTTCTACGATTTTTTAGCCAACAAAATTTAGACTATTTTTTTTGATTAACCAACTTTGCCAACTTTCTAAATAACGTATTCTTTAGAAGTTTTAAATACGTATCCACAAAAGCATTTAATTAAACTTTTTTTTTTTTTTCTGTTTTTTTTTTTAATATAATTAGCAATGATATATTCTACAAAAGGAGATAATCTGTAACAATCTTTCCTGAACTGCAACTAAATAAAATTCCGGATAAAAAAACTTTAACTTCACTATAAATAACTAATATGACTTCTTTTTAATAATTTGAAACAGCTTCGTATCATCTTTTAAGATTATGTACTTTGAAAGCTCATCTATAATAAATGAAAGACAATAAAGATCATTTATTACAATTTGATTGCAGATAAGATTGTTTATAACAATAAGATTGTTTTTTCAAACAAAACTCATAAACTTGTCTTTAACACACATGCTTAAATTTATGCATTTATTTGCTGTGTTAAGGAGACATTAGTTGAATGCTGCTTTGTTATGTGGCATTGAATTTATCTTTCGACTCACAATTTATCATACTCTGATAAAAGTAAATTTGGTTAGTAATTTGAATAATAAAAGATCTACCATTTTCGATAAACTCAAGATTTCAAAATTTTTTAGGTTTTTGTGCATTTATTGGTAGTCTGGGCACAAAAATATGTGCCTTTATATATGGCCAGTTTATAAATATTTTCAGAATCATTTAGAAATATCAGATTTAACTTTTTTTATTATTAATACTGTTTTAAATATAGATGATTTTGTTATACGTATTTTTTGAGGTTTAATACGTATGGTAAGTCATTTTGAGTTACATCCAGCGTCGTGTTTTAACAAAACCTTCATTTAAACAAATATGTAAAGATTTAAGACTTAAAGAAGTGGGTGAAATTGTTTAATGTCAAGGGCAAATAGATAACTCACCACTATCATAAATTTCTAAATTTCAAATTTTCTTACCTCGCAAAAGTTATTTTTCGAAGCTTTTAATTCAGAAAGCTCATGTTCTTGTGAGGCATAATGATGTTAAAGAAACTTTTGGGAAAGTGCGGAATGTATACTGGGTTCTTAGGGCAAGGTCTCTAATGAATATAATAATTTAAAAAATGTTTTATATGTAAAAAATTTTTAAGGAAAACCATTATTTTACCACCGGTGTCCGCCTTTAGTAGTAAGTAAGCTATATCATGACTACGCTTTTTGCTGGTCCCTTGTATATTTAGTTTTTAGATAATTTAAACGTTAATATTAAAATATGGGTATTTTTGGTCTCATGATTTCGTTCTTGTGCGCCTATTTTAGATTTAGTTCCTGATTGCTCTGCAGCAAGTGATATTTGTAGTATTCAAAGATTTTATGCACGGCGAGGGGTGCCTTCAGTGATTGTATCAGACAACGATACACAGTGTGCTTCAGAAGAAACACAAGTATTTGTTGCAGCAATTGCAATCAAAAGGTGATTCAATGTAGGGGGGGAATATATGAAAATAGGGATATATAAAAGACTGATTAGATCTACAAAACGCTGTCTTAAAAAGATATTAGCTAATTCAAGAATGACGTTAATTGATTTGTTAATAGTACTTTAAAGAGTACTTTAAAGAACTGTTAATAGTACTTCTTGAAGTAGAATGCGTTATAAATAATAGACCTTTAACATTCGGTTATGAAGACCAAGAAGATAAGGTAGTAACATTAAATCGTTTAGTTTTTGGAGAGAATTTATGTTTGGAAATCATACCTGAATCTTCAGCATATGATTATAATACAGATATAAATCAACATAACAAATCTTTCCATGTTATTGACGCGTTTCCAATAAAAATGGAAAGACGAGTATTTTAAGAACTTGTGCAAATATCATAAATCTTTTGAAGGCTTGAAGTTATAGCTTTAAGTAAAAGGCTCAGCTCTAATTTAAAATGGCTATTTAGTTTTAATAGATGGTTTCCCTAAATCTTGCATATTGTAGAAAGATAGTATTGTTGAAGACACTAAACATTCAAAAAATAATAAGTTAAGAAGTGCCAGAATAAGATATGTTCAGAATAGGAGCTGTCAAAGAGTTAATTGATCTGTAAATAAGCTTTACCCGATTAAATTTGCTACAGGACAAGTTAACAATAATCTGAAAGTACAATTTATGGACGAAGGACTAGTTTTGTATAGACGGCTCTTTACTGTCTTATCACATAACATCGTGGAGCGTTTAACCAGGAATTTAACACCTTCTTCCTTACAAATAGTTTTTTTGCTAGAGCCGTTATCTAATCACGATTCTCTTAGTTCTAAGCAAAAGCTTTAGCCACTGTGCCACGGTTTAATTGTCTGACTTAAAGTGTTAAGTATTGATCTTTATTATTATAGTAATTCTCGAATAAAATGTAACTATCTTGATTAATAAAATATATAATTTTTTTTTATTATTATCTGTCTCAAAATTTTTTCCCAAAAATATTCTATTAAAAATTGATTTAACTTCAAAATTGATTCAACTTTAAAATTGATTCAAATTCAAAAATTGATTACTCGAGGTCACAATCTTAAATATGAAAAAGAAATTGTGAACTATTTACCTCGGCATCATTTTTTATTAAATCGTACAACCAATTTATGGAACGCTTTGCCGGAAACTGTTGTTATTTCAAAAACTGTCAATCAATTTAAGAATAGGTTAGATGAGTATAACGCCAAATCAAAGAAATTTTAACTAAACATTTTTAATATATATTTGGATTAATGCTGTCAAAATGTGATAAACCACACTCGCTGGATTCGTCCAGTTACAGTTTAACTACTAACTACTAACTAACTAAAGTTGTTACAATTGTAAGAGCTTTACCAAGTGTATATATGTAAAGATGTATAAATGTTAAAATATATAAATTTGTTTTAATATTTGTAATAAATTATAAAACAACTTGTTTAATAGCAAGGTGATTAGATATCTTGGAATACTTTATTTACAGAAACTAGAAAAAAGCTGTTTATTTATGCATTGAAAAAATTTTGTTAAAAAATTAAATAGGTTTTAGTTAAAACATTCCATCTATAGAATTAAATAATTTTAAAATTTAAATAACGCCTGTCGCCGTCCACCGATTTGTTTATTATACATTGAAGTAAAACAATAGCTTATTTTATTAGCCACACAACTTAAACGATATTTTAGGCTGTAATTTCAAGTTTGTAATGTTATCTGAAAACATTTTTTCGCAGTCAAAATATTTGCAAGATTGCAGTCTCGATATTTGGAAGTTAGCTTTAAATTTTTTAGCTAAATTTATTTTAGAAATAAACATATAGCATACAACATTTGAAGATTTTTTCTTTCAAAAAGTTACTTATTTTTTAAAAGTTAGTGAAATTACTAGAGAATTCAATGTGACAAATCTAAATGTGTAATTATAAAAACATACTTGTGTATATAAGTAATTACTTTAAGAAATATACCTTAAAATTATCTAAGTACCCAGACGTTATTTAATATTATTTTTATCAAAAACAATTTGCACTTAGGTAAACCTTCTTTACACAGTTAATTGAAACACAATAATATTTATATTTTCTGTTTTCATGACTAATATATTTTAAATTAAAAAAATTAATGTTATAAACAAATTTAATTTCACATAAATACTTCTATTTATAATGTTGTGCGTTGCTAAATTAGACATTTAATTGAAATATAATATACTAAATAACATTCATTTGACATATTATAAACTCGGCAAAAATTAAAATTTTATATGAAATCAATAAAAGTAAAAAGTTTTGTTTAAATTATAAAATAAAATTACTTTCTTAAACGTAATATTGTTCAACTTTTTCACACATATTTTTATGTTATATGTTTATCTTTCCTATTCATATTTTTATAGAATGTTTAATAAAACTTATATGTTGCATTTTATATTTAGTTCTATCAAATGGTTCAATAATTCTTACTTCATTTGGCGTTATATTTATTGTATTTGTAATGATTTGTTTTGCGGTATGTTTTCGACGTAAAAAAAGGTAGAGTAATGATAGTTTTAGTTAACATGAAATTTTATTTTATCATTTTAATTTGATCAGGGACTTTAGAATGTTAAATAATAAATAGTATTGTGGCCAATTTTGTTCAGAAGACCATAAATACCTGTCTAAACAAATGATCAACACTGATCTACTAAAATTTACTAAATGATGTCTATAAGTTATCTGGAAAAAAAAAAGTATTTTTCATTGCCTTCATAAACAATATATAATCCTTTTAACGCATTCAAAACTTCCTATTAGTGATTATATTGCGTGAAAAGAATGTTCAGTTAAATAAAAACGTAACTTAGAAAGATATCATAAACATGATCAAAAAATAAAATTTCTAAAATATTAGTTTATTCTATAGAGCATAGCTTTTCATAGATCAAAAATGCACATATATTTATATTCAAATATATATTTAAATATGCATATTTAGATTAAATACAGTTTATTTCTTTTTATTTTTTTTTTCTTAACTATCAAAATTATTATTATGTTCGGCCCAGTACCTTTATAACTAAGATAAAAAAAACAACTAAACAAACAAATTTGGTTAATAAATGTTACATGTGTCTTATATTATAATCTCTAATAAACTAATACTTATTTATAGTTTTTATGTAAAAATCTACTATAGTTACGATACCAGTATTAATAAAATCATTATTTGATAAGATAAAGCACAAGTACTTAACCAAATATTTGAGTGATAGCAACATGTCTGGTCAAAAGTTTTTTATCAATATTTAAAAATACTTAAATACAAAGAAAATACTGTTAAACGATGTTCAAGTAATAAAGTAACGCACGGTACATAGGAACGTGCTTTAAGACCTTGCAATACATCTCCAGAACCTTTTTTTTTTATTATCAGAAGACTCTCACTTTTTCCAAAAACAACAACATTTTTCACCTGGGGCCTAGAGAAAAATCACGTATTTTAGGCGAGCACTTAGTAAACTTATTGTTAATGACATCTAACTAAGAGCTATATGGCATGCTCAAATTTGTGGTATGTTAATACTGGTATCAAATAAGGACGACTTGCAAAAAGTTTAGGTAGTTGGAGCTGACCCAACCCCTCTTCCCCCGACTTATAATTTCTCCTGCCCTACAACTACGTCTATAATATAATAACATTTTTTTTAAAGTTTTATCATAAATTAGACCAAAATTTATTGACAGATTTCAAGTGATGATTATTACCATAAGAAGTATAAAACACCACAAATTTATACCCTGAAACTAATTTGAATTTTCGTAACTTTCAAACTGAAAATATTTTTTGATGAAATTTAAAATTGTTTAAAGCATTCAAATTTTTTATTTAAAGATGCAAAGGATCTTAATGTATATCAACTCAACATTTATAAAATTTTGTGTTTTTGTTTTAATGTAAAGTTTCAGTGTAAAGATAAGTCAGCACTATCTGTTTTTAAAGATGTTTTTATCAAAAAAATAAAAATAAAATTATTTTGCGAAATGATAGTTTTTTAAATGAGCCACTTTGTCGTACAAAATTTAATCAATTTTGTATTGGATATAGTGCACCTTTTTTCTGGAACAAAATTGTTTTGAATAATTTTGATCTATCTACTTTATTTGAACTTTTTAAAAATAAACTAAAAAAATTATTTTTACTATAAACGATTTAATGAATTTCTTCTTATATGCAATAACGCAATGTATAATATTTATTTATTTATTTATTTTTGCTGTTGTTATTGCTTTTACGCTTTTAAAAGGTTCTGATGACAAGATCAACAATATTTTCTTTCAGAAACCTTGTTTACATTTGTAAAGCTTTTATTTATAAAGTTATTTATATAATTGTATTACGATTTATATAATTGTAAACTGTAACACGATATAAAAATAAAAAAATAAAAATAAAAAAAATAAAAAAAAATTACAAAAATTTTGTTTAATTTGTACAACACAAACACTAAACAAAAAGGTGAATATCCATGAAAAAATAAAATATTTGAGCATCCTTATATTATAATTATAAAAAACAACTTCTTCTTAAAAGAGATTTTGGAGAGAAGTTACGTATTTCAGGCGAATTCTTAATAGTTTTTTTTACAAGAAAGGTAATTATTAACCGTGCGGCATACTCAAATTTTTACTACACTCGACAGATACAGACCGTTGAATAAACGGAAAAAATCCGTTTTATTCAACGGTCTGTATCTGTCGCTATTGCATTTACAGACTTTTCGTTATTTTAATGGATTAAAATTTTAACAGATTGATTTTTTTTTAACAATTGTATTCTGATCGTGCAACAAACAATTTGTTAAGATAATGAAATTATTAAACTAGGCAGCTTTTTCTATTTTGGTATAAAAAGAATTTAATACGTCATCGTAGTAAATAAGTGATTATTTCCTTTATTAAGTTTAGAAAGGAGTTAAAACAGATAGAACTGAGGTTTCATTACAAAGAAGGCCTTATTTTTTAATATATAGATTTTTTTTGCTACTATACTAGATTTAAATTTTTGAAACTGTTGTAAGTTCTTTTGTAAAATAATATTTATATTTTTGATTTCATAATTTTATAATTTTTAAACTAAAATACTATGATCAACAGTGACGAAGGCCTTACTAAGATCTATAAAAACACCTAAAGTGAACTTGTTTTTGTCAAAACCTTGCAAAGTGATCTATTTAAGAAGAAAAATTGCATTATCTGTAGTGTGACATGTTTTGAAGCCAAATTGTTTATTTTTAGTATATATATATATTTTTTTTGAAAAACGAGTACAATTTGTTATACATAATGTATTCTTGTATTTACGAGAAGCAAGAGCTCTATTGTTAAAAATATTATTACCGTTTCCAGATTTAAAAACTGGTATCATCTTTACAATTTAAAATTATGTTGTAAAGCTTTCTTTTTTAAACAAAAGATTAAATAAATGCAAAAGAATTTTTTTAATTGAGATATACATTTAATTACAACATTACTGCTACCATTATCAAATCCTTGTTCTTTAATTAATTTTAACAAACTGCAGCTTCTAATAACTCTTTTCTGTAAATAATTAGTTTTCCTTTGCTAACCTTGTGATTTTTAGTTACAAATTTTGTTGTTAATTTAACGAAAAAAAGCAGTCCGTTGCTTATTCTAATGGATTGTTTTTAGAGTTTATGTTAACGCTAGTATCAACTTTTTAGTATTTTGATGACGTGCAAAAATTTGATGTAATTAGAGCTAACACAACCCCGTCTCAACCCTAGTTTCCTCTTTTCCAATAACTACGTTTCTTAAAATTTTCTTATTTCTACAATCAATTAAATAAAAATTTATCGACAATTTATTGAAAATTAAATGATGAATGTGTTTCAGGAAAGTCTGTTTATAAACATATTGAAAACGTTTCAAACAGACCTGTAAAAAAACTTTTTTGACCAAATTATTATGTTCAAGCGTCACAAGGAATTCTATATCCCTGTACGAGCTTGGATAGACAAAAGAAATTGACAGCCATTTTAAGATCAGCATACCCTAAATAAAAATAAAATTTCTGTCTAGTTTTATCAAAGGTTTGAGCACAAACAATTCAGCTATCAAAAACTTTATAATGTTTTTGGGCAAACCCGTAGAAATTGTGCATGGGGTTTAAAAGTCGATTTTTATATTTTTATAATATCGGGATCATAAAAATATAAAAATTGAATTTAAAACATTATTTACAAAAAATTGAATTACTATAAACAGCAATAAAAATAACATTGGGCATTTCTACAGCATCTATGATTAAGTTATAGCATAATATTTAAAAAAAATATTTTTAAATTTGTTTTAATTTGGAAAAAAGCTGTGTAGCAGCTGTATCCCTACCAAGGAAAATTTCATAGAGAAAACCTAAAAACTGTTGGTTTTCGTTGTATGAACAAAATCTAACAGAGAGATAACACCTTTTATACTTTAAAAAGTAAACGGGAGACATAATTTTACAAGACTCAACAGATTCTAGAGGACTTCATAATGGATATCATTCAACAATGAGGAGGAAAAATAAATTCAAGGACATAATTATTCCATCTACATCCGATTGTATAGTTATTTATCCAAAGAGGTCTACGAGCGAGCAAATACGTCATTTTCTCTTGTGTCAAATTGGTCAGAATAAGATCAATCAAAAACATGTATTAAAAATGCATGTATTAGAAATCTCACAAAAGTTTGTGAGTGAAAAAAAGTCCTCAGATGCTTTAAATGTCTTTCAATTTTTGCCAAAGGTATTCCCAATTTTTAATGAGTACGCATTTTGAGAAAACATAAGAATACTTGCAGCAAAGGATAGAAAGTTTTTAATTAATAGCTGCCACAGTTACAAGCCAAACGTAGGCATCACCAAATGGGACTGTTTGTGTTGGTGGCTAAATGTGGTAATTCTATATAATCTCATCAAATGCTATACAACTCTTAGATGCTCCCACAAAAGTGAATGCACATGATCGTTAACCAATTTAAATCAATACAAGAATTTTTAAACTACGCAAGTTGTATCTACTGTCAATCAATCGTAACAACCTTTTATATTTTTTAACACATTCAAAACTTGAAGCAGTTAAAAGGTAGGGGTAAAAAATGGGAAAAAAAACAATCATTGTCTGTAAAGACTTCAAGTCTTTGAATTGCTTGATTATATTCTTTTGGAAAGAAGTTTATTTTCGTAGCATATCATTGAACTTGAATTAGATAATGATGCAGGAATTTTAAAATTTTCAGAACTGTAAAAACATATACAATGTTTTTTTAGTAAATTATTTTGGCTATTTGAGATAGAATGTCAAAAAAGTTACACAAAACTTGAACATGTTTTCACTTAGACCGAGGCTCAATCAAAGGTATTCATTTTGTCTTGTGATATTAAAGTATCCGATATTTAATGTGGTCTTTAATAAACCTCTTTCAATTATCCATGCACTTGGTGCACATCATCTTCCACCAATCTTATTGAATGTGGTAAATAGTAT